TTTTTTTTTTTTTTTTTTTTTTTTTTTTTCTTAAGGAGATGGGGAAGAGTGTGAAATAAAATCTGCCAAAATGTAATGATGAATAGAAAGAAAGTGTAAGTTGTGTTGCAAAATCCTGTCCATTTTGCAGTGATCTTCATATCCACCTCTTATATTTTGAATAAAATATTGTTGACTCTTTTAAATTATTTCAAATTGTCAGGTCTAGCTTTGCTCCCAGATACATTAGTATTGCACAGATACGTTAATTTTTCTTACCTGCTTTGACTGAGATTGAAAGAAGGGGGTTTTGGGAAGGCCCATGGGCTCATAGTTCAGGGCAGACTTGGAAAGGGTGCCATGGGGGGAGAACTTAATGGGAAGTAGAACTCTCACAGGCTTCCTCACTGTGAAGTTCTCACTGATTGTCACCTTAACAGCTGAAAAAAGTGTTTACCAACGGCAGCCTCCTGGTCCCTGTGACAAGATCCAGTTGCCCTGTCTGGGACATCAGTGGAACTTGGTGACATCTGGCTGTGGGTGGGCAAAACTGACATGGGAAAGCATTCAGTTCAACTTGGCGGGGAACAGCCGTTGTTGAAAGTGTTGATTAGAATTCAAAATCGGGTATGCTGAATTTGTCCTGAGCGGCCTTCTGTGCTGGTGCGTCAAGCTTGCTGAGGGTGACTGATGCCACAAAGAGAGGATTAGGGCCTCTTATGTCGGAGAAGTTGGGAAAGGGCTACGCGGGGCAGTGCTGAAAAATGTCTGTGCTTAGCTCTTTGCTGGTAGTGGGAATGATAGAGGAATGAAGGAAAAATATTTTTAACAATGTAGCATACGAATTTAATGTATAATTTGAGTATTGTGGTAAGATGCCTTGCTTTTGTAATAGGTTGAATTCAGAGCACCTCTTGTTTAGTGCAGCTGGAGGAATGGCTCATGGAGTCTGTATCTGAATGATTTTGCAAGAATACAAGAAGCAGCATAATCTTAATTCTACTCAAAAATTATTATACAGAACTGTTAGTGCAAAAATCATTACTACATATATGTGTGGGGAAAGGTTGGTGTATCTAAGTTTCATTGATACATTCTTCTACAGTTAATTATAGGAGGCTTTCATTGTAATTAACAGTAATGAGCACAGGATATGTGTCATGTTACAGTAACACACGTGGAAACAGTTGCGTTGAGAAATCCCAGTCATACCTGATGATGAAGTTCAGTTTTGGATCAGAGGCTTTTCTCCATTTGCCACTGATTCTGTGTGAAATCAGCTTCTTGCGTATTCCTTGCTTTATTTAATTTTTTAAAAAATTCTATGGGTATCTTTGTTCATGTGTATCTTTTGGCCTCATTAACCCCTATTTTACCCTTGAAACACTTAAGAGTAATTCATATTGACTCTAGTGAATATTTATTAACAAGTGCAAAGATGAGGAACTGAAGTATTTCTTGTGAAGGGCTTTGGTGTTTTGGAGGGTTTTCTTGTGTTTTCATTTGACAGTCACTGTAGAGGCTTCAGCATCATTGTTTGTTATGGCGCCAGTTCAACGGCTAGTTGAAATTTCCAAAATGCTGCTTTGTCTACAAGCAATGAGACATTGGCTCTAAGTGAGTTACCCTATTCACTCTGAGATAGCCTTATTGAAAAATTTAATGTTGCTGATCCATTTTATCTTGCTCATTTCATTCTGTTTTAAGCCCAGTTCTGCAGACATTCAATAGAGAGAACCCTGCTTGAAACTCACGGCACTTTGACCTTCGCAAAAAACTGTCTTTTCTGCATCGTATACCATATAACTTACAGCTGTTTTGGTGTATAACATGTTAATTGTAGATGAGCCATCAGTGAGGTGTTCAGCAGTATGCTCTTGGGTTATGTAAGAACAGAAATCATTAAATTTGGGTCTTAGTGAATTTAATAGATTTCTATTCAGTGAGAGCTTAAACAGGATGTTTCTTTACAGCCTTAACCACCTGTTTCCATGACACCAGCGGAAACTGAAATTTGTTAATTTTTTTATTTGTCTCTGTCAAATTTGGTTGAAATTGAGAGCTTCAGATCTATTTGAGGAGTGTTTGGTAGAGAATGTGATCTCTGAAGCCTGGTTTCCTTAGGTAAGTAGGCTAAACAAAGTATATCCTTTTTCATTCATACTGCTATGATTTATTTTTTTTTCTGACTCAGTGTGTTCAATCTAGAGAGAATCTAAAGAGTACAGCTTTATTCTGCTTAGCTGCCTAGCTGGATGTATCGTTACAGAGGTGTAAATCGTTGTAGTTCACCTCATGGCCATTTT